TAGATCATTTTCATGTTGTTAATCTAACATCAAGACTAACAAAAGCAAATTGACATTTCTAGGATATAAAGCATACTGCTTTTTTTTTTCTTTTTTAATCTAATTCTGTGATTTACGATCTAAACTTTCGCAATTTGAGAATTGTCGAACCAGAACCTTCTTTTTATTTTTATTGTTTTTTATTGTAGAGGAAGAAGTTGATGGTGAAACATTGTTCTATATGAACGATTTGAATCTATTGAAACCATTCAAATTGTCGTACAAAAATCAAATTATATTTTTGAAAGAAAGAGAAAAGTTATTTTCGTCGAAAACAAACGAAAAACCAACATCAGCATCAACACCAAATGATACAGCATTATTAATTATAGATGAAAATCAACAAGATGATGAACATGAAAATCAATCAGCAGAAGCATCAATAAATGTATCATCTATCGAAACTATTATTACAACTGAAAATTTAACAGAAAAATCTCTTCCAGATCCTTATTTATTACCAGTGTTACCGAGTCAAGTCAACGATGCAATTAATCTTAAACAAATGGAAAAATTTGAAAAACTTTGCAACTTTCGTTCAATTATTATAGATGCTGTTTTTCATGATTTGAAAACAAATTATGGTTTGATGTAAGTATAATATTTTATTGTCTTATTTAAGTTCTTTTTTTATTTATTGGGGAGTTTTCTATAAATCTAGAGACGAGTCATTATGTTAAAATAACAAAACCCAATAGATTGTATAGGAAAGTATAAAGAAGATTTTAACATATTAAATACATTTGTTTCTTATTAAGTTTTAAACTTTTAAAATTGGAATGTTAATAAATGAATTCATCTACATATTTTTTTTCTACATAGATATCCGACACGAGAACAATATACAACAATTGTTAATGGAATACTTAATCATTTGAAGATTGAACGTGATCCAAAAACATCTGTAAGTAAATCTGAAAAATAATCCTATCAATATTATAATCATTGATATTTTAGAATTCATGGCGAGAATCTCTCATTTCCAAATACAAACGAGAGAGACAAAATTTCGATGAAGAAAAAACAATCGAAATGAAGCTTAGATATTCAAGAGAAAAGTCTGGAAGAAAAATCAAGAAATATTCAACAACACAATTATCAGAAAGAAACACATCAAAAAAAGTAAGTTACACTAAAAACAGCCAAAAGGATATGTATGTTTTTATTTTCCTAGACATCAATCATTCAAGATACACCTAATGAAATACAACAAATGGAAGAAAAAGCTGAAACACTTAAAACAAATTTTCAAAATAAATCAATTGATGATCAACATTATCAACGGTTGTGGCTTGAAACTTTTGATTATCGACAAAATTTTATCAAGGAAAACACAACTGCAGATATTATGGAACGTTTTCCTGTTTATTCAAATCCATCTATGGTAAAAAAAAATTGCAAGACTTTCAGTATCACATTTTCATTTTAGATATTGACAGATGTTAAATTATTAACAGGTGTAGATTTGGATCATTCTGTTAAAGAAAAAATGAATTTGCTTTCTAATAAAATTTGTTCTAATGATAAATTTTTAACAGGTAGGAAAAAAGTTTATAGTATACCAAACAGTAATCTTGTTTATTAGATGATCCAATTGTTCGTTGTTTTAAAGTATTATGTAGTATACTAAACGACTCATGGAAACATTACATTTGCTTTTATCCTGATGTAAGTTATCTGAAAATTTTTTTAAATTTTCTGAAATATCGCAAACATGAAAAGAATAGAAGAAGTTAGTTATATTTGGTCTTGTGTTCTAGTCAGCTAGGTAGTCTTCTTAGCTTGATTGAGAGACATCGCTTATTATTTTAGTTTTTCTTTACTTCTGACTACTACAGACTTTCTATCAACGTTATGGTTCTTTGCTTTAAACTTTCTTAAACATGCGGATATTAGCGGGCCATAAATGTTATTCGATCAATCGGATATTTTAAAGTATCATGCACAATATAGATGCTTCTATAAAATTGATTTTCTATCAGAAACTTTGACACATGAAAAATCCCCTCTGTTTGACTTCGGCATAATCTCTTATTACACAATAAAGAGAAGTTCTTATTACATTCCTTTTCTCTGAAGCTTATGCTTTTTAATTTACCTCGATTGATCTTCTAATTCTTTTTAGAAACCAGTTACTCCTCAACCAACAATGGTAATTGAGGAAAACGATATTAAAATCTACGTGGATTGGACCTTCATTTGCTCATCGAATTCTATGGAACAATCTTTGGCTTTAGTTGTTGGTTTATATTGTTTGATGAATCTTACGTTTCCAACGTATCGTACTGTTGTTAGATTTTTATATGTTTATTTCATGAATGATAAGCAACAACAATCAAATGTCATTCGAAAATTTTGTAAAGTATACAACATTCAACTTCAAGATAATCCTTCATCATCAAATGCTGCATTACTGGAAGAAACAAAAATTAATGATACGTATTTAAATGATAGACGTGAAAACAATGAAGAACAAAATATATCTTTTGAACTTCAAACGACAACATCAATTCAACCAACATCGATGGAATCAACATCACATGAATCAACATCAATTGATTCAATATCAACTGAGTCAATATCAACAGAATCAATATCAATGGAACCAATATCAATAGAATCAACGTCAACAGAATCAACATCAATGGAACCAATACCAACTGAACCAAAACGAATTGAACCAACAACATGTGAAAAACCAACAGCATTTCAACAACAATCAAATCGTAAACGCAAAGCAGAAGAAAAACATGATTATGAGCAACTGTCTCTGGAGATTGATGCATCGGAACAAAAAATAACGAGAAATCTCCGACCAAAACGACACAGACAATAAGGACACATTCACAATGGCAACAAAAACTGTTTTATATGTCTCACTATTTCTTCTCTCATCATAAAAGAACTAGCGTTTTTTGTTTTTCTTATAAGAGAAGGAATTCATTTATTCGTTCGTCGGCTTTTTTAAAGTATTACTTTCTCGAGACAATTCGTCAAATAAGAGACATATAAGCCATCGAAATTTATTCTCTTTCGTATTGCTCAACATTTTCTGAAAAGATTTTTGATTGCTATAATAAATTTCCACTTCTTTGTGATAGACACTTGAAAATTTTATTGTTAGCAAACCCGAAATTTTGATAGTTAGAATAGATACTTCAAAAAATTTTCATTCAAAATTGAACATTGAAACATAAAAATAATACATGGTTCAACAAATCACGTACTTTCACACGGTGAGTGCGTTTTTTTCCAGACTATCGAATATTCATTTTTTTTTCTTTTAGGTTGATCAAAATCGAAGTTCAGTTGCAAATCTTTATACATTTTGATATATGTATATTTCATGCATTCTGGTGAATCACAATCGAACAATTGAACTGTAAGTATATATACAATATATAATATTTTATTTCTTTAGGTGCTCAGAGATTTAAGCCTAACCTTTTCCCGAATATTCTAGATTTAAATTCTATTTATTTAGGTGGATCCAGATCGAAGGGTAGACTTTTCTTCTCCTACTGCACTTTCATATTTTTCTATTTACGATGATCGTAATCGGACTGTAAATTTTTCTATATATTGATATACGTCTATTTTATTTGTTTTTGAGTATCCAAAAACGAGATTTAAATGTAAGTCTTTATAGATTATCGAAAATTGATTTTTTATATATTTAGGTGGATCGAGATTGCGCGTTAACTTTTTCTCTATTTTTTTGTATATTTGAATCTTTTTCTTTTTAACCCAATCTAAAGCAAAACTATATAGGTTGTCGAATCCTGATTTTTTTATTTATTTAGACAGATCGGAATCTAGCTGTAAGTTTTTTTTGAGATTATCCTATATATATATATGTTGTATTTCTTTAGATGGATCAAATTTGAAATGTGAACGTAAATCTTTATACAGTTTGGTATCAATTCATTTTACGTATCTAGATGGGAACCTAAATCCAAACTAAACTGTAAGTTTTTTCTTTAGATTTCGGTATATTGATGTAGTTTTTATTTAGATCGATCGAATTCGAAATGTACATGTAAATCTTTAAACAATTTGGTACATGTCCATTTGCTTATTGACATGGATCGACATCGAAGGGCAAGTTCTTTTTCTGATTATCGTATGTTTCAATTCTATTTAATTAGGCGAATTCAGATTGAGCTTTAATTTTTTTCTGTTATTGTACATTTCGATCTTTTTTTTAAGCCCGATATAAATTGAAATTGAATTCAAAGTATATATAGGTCGTCGAATATTGACGTTTTCGACAGATCAGAATCAAGCTGTAAGTTTTTTTTTTTGAGATTATCCTATATATATATACATGGCATTTCTTTAGATGGGTCGAATTCGAAATGTACATGTAAATCGTTAAACAATTTGATACATGTGTATGTGCTTATTTACGTGGATCGATATTAAAGGGTAAGTTTTTTTCCGATTATCGTTTCTTTCAATTTTATTCATTTACGTGGATTTAGATTGTACTACCATTTTTTTTTTCTTGTTATTGTATATTTGAGTCTTTTTATTTTTAACCCGGTATAAATTGAAATTGAATTGTAAGTCTATACAGATTGTCCAATATTGATGTTTTATTTATTTAGGTGGATCAAAATCGAACTGTAAGTTTTTTTTGAGACTATTAGATATATATATATTGTATTTCTTCACATAGGCCGAGTTCGAAATGCAAATGTAAATCTTTATACAGTTTGA